GTCAAAATTCATCAAAATTGAAGGTTTTCAGTTAATTACATATGGTAAAATTTGTCGGAATTAGGTGTGTAATAGTTCATTCGACGCAGAATCATTGGTTTCATAATGTACAACCTTTAAATTATTAGTAACGGAGGAGTAGTGAACAAGTTATAAGGCAACAAAGAAACTGGAGTGAATTTCGAATTTGGAGGTTACATGTGACATTTACATGACAAAACTTTATTTCTGCAATCTTTACAACTCAATAACTTATTCATCACACATCAGAAATAGGTGATGAGGGGGTGATAAATGATCAGTATCACGAGGGCTATAAAATGAGCTATAGTAATCCAAAATTGAACAACTTTACAAAAAATTCGTAATTCCAAAAATGGATTTCAGCTATGAATATTAGGAAAAAATCACCTGTATTCATCATAAGAAGATCTGTTCATCATTTATTCACATCAATTGATTAAATTCACGCCTTAAATCATTACAAACAATAATATTCATGACATCATATGATTACATTGGAGGAAATTCTGTTGATTTTGACGGTTTTTGAGGTTTTTTGGGGGTTGTTGACCATTGTTGAAGGTTGTTGGAAGGATATATACTATTGTTAAGGATTTTACGGGCCTTTGTTCCCCGTTTTAATCATCTTATACTTTTGTTAGAGTGTTTTTAATCATCATTAAATTACTTTAGCAGTACTAAGTTCACTAAATTGCCCCTTTACATCAAAGAAGAAATTTCTTTACGTGTGATAAGACTACAAGTCTTCATTGGAATAACAATCAAACTGATTGTTGCTTTGCTAGTAATTAAAGTTGTGTTTTTGTTGTGCTCAGATTGGAATAACACTATAGCAGTGTTGAGATTTCTTTATTTCTAAAGATCACGGGAATAATACTTGAATTAAGTATTGAGACAATTTCTCTGGTGCCTTATCCCAAAGAATTCAGCAAAACCCCGTGTTGATTCTTTCAAAGAGGCAGTCTTAGGCAACTTCTACTAGTTAGTTATATTAGTAGATTATCCCTCTTTAAGCTCTGTAAAGCTCTTGTTGAGCTTTAAGTTCTACAATGTTCAAGGAGTCCTCAGATGGCCCCCCCAGGAAAAGGTCACCCAAGGAATACCTCCGAGGCAAATTTTGCCCTTGGATTGGATCCTTGGTGGGAGCTTCCCTTGGGGTCAAAATCCAAGAACTCCTTGGATTTTTGCATCTGAGCCAAATATGCTGGCTGTGCAGAAGTCTAATGTCTTACGTAACATACTTTAGACCTAATACATAGTTCTCTAGATATATCTTTCCACAATACCACCTCAATCTGACTCCTTAAGATCCTTGAGTGATGGCTTGTTGTCATCTATTTGGCTTCAGTCCATAATTGAAACATGTAATTTGGTTCTAGAAAGTTTTCCACCACTTTTGTGATGATTGACACCCCTGAGCGCCTTAGAAATCGTAACTTCACAAACCTTCCACCTTATCCTTTCCTTTCTTTCAGTGAGGACATACAAAGTCCTTACATGTAACTCTTGAAGAGCTCAATAATCAAACTGTGGATCAACTTTTCCTGTGCCTCATCTTTCTCTGAAAAATGACTCACGGTAAACAACCATACACTATCCCCAAGTGGAACTGGGAAAATGATGATTATTGTAGTTTGTCATCAAAAGATCTATCACTACACACCTGAGCCATAACACCCACACTACATATGTGCAACAAGCTGAGTAAATTATGAGCTATCAGGTACATACAGGTCTGCTTAGTTCCCTGCTCACCTGAAGAAGTAAATCACATGTGATACAACATGTAACTTTTTCAGTTTGACAAAACAGTCCTAAAAATTGACTACATATACCTCCATAGCTACTCTTGTAATACTTTGAAAGCCATTCACCAGTAACAGAAAGGTTGTTACATGTGGTTTAGTTAATGGAATTACACCAAAACTATGAGTCAGTGTATGTAGTCAATTGTTGGAATGTTTTTGTCAAACTGAAAAAAAATTACATAAAGTAGTACATATGGTCCACTCATTCAGATGAGCAGGAAACTGAGCAGAACTGTATGTACATGATAGCTAATAATTTACTCAGCTTTTGGCACATATGTAGTGTGGGTGTTATGGCCCAGGTGTGCTGTGATAGATCTTTTGATGACAAACTACAATAATCATCATTTTCCCAGTTCCACTTGAGGATAGCGTATAATGTTTGCAGTGGTACTCTGCCTCTACCTCCCTTGGAAAGTTTGAGTACAGAGCCCACATGGGCTGAAGCCTTCATGGCACCTGTGGGGGGTGCTGTGGGGGCTAGTTTTAAGATGCTTTTCTCTCTCATTTGATGATTACATTTATTTTACAAAATCGTTAAAAATGCATCAATTCTGCATTGTTAATCACTTTGTCCATTCAATCCAATCATTTTTCACCTTGGAGAAATACATTATTTTTGCAGTGTATGTAGGGAGGGTGGGGTGGACAAAAAATCAAACTTTGATAGATCTTTGGTGACAAAGTTTCTGCACATACCATCCTTTGACTTAACTTATCCCAACATCATGCTTTTAAGAACAATCTGTCTTTTAGCTCTTGCTACCCCTTTACTGGCATTCAGCGCCATTTACACCAATTGCCAAGGTGAATCACTTCTATAATATTGTCAAACAACCTTGGAAACAGGATTCTCGTCTACAGAAAACAACAAATTCCACCATGCAAGTGGTGCCCACAAATATTACACTGTTGGACTTTGTAAAATCACCTATTGGACGTAAGCTACTTTCTCTTATCCAAGTGCAGAGAAAATCACGGTTTGATCAAAACCTGTTTGTACCTACCGTACCGTTGCTTGAAATAGCTCAGGGCCTTGTCTGCAGTTTGATGATACCTTAGGCTTCACGTGCGCTCTAACTGTCAGTAATATCTAAATATTTGTCACCTACATGAGACTACTTGAGCTGACGTTATCAATTTCGCACTTAGCAAATTGACTGATCATGCCGAGACAAAAAAACAAAATCTGACAATGGCAATCTACATATTCTCCGGAGCCTTTGTTGGATATCTTGTCAGTAGATCATCTTTTTCTTCTTTGGTCTGTAGAAAATGGGACATGTGTTAATTTTGGTCTATCAATTTTTTACTTGTAAAATTATCTAGGATCTTTACCCGGAGACACCTGTTGTGATCCAAGTCAACGGATCTTAACATAAATTCAAAAACAAGTGTATCTCATTCCACAGTTTGCTACAAGGTTTTGTGTTTGAATTTTCATGATCTTAACCATGTTTGTTTACAAGAGCCCCAAGAAGACGTTCATTTTCACTATTCACATCTGCTAGCAATAAATACACCCTGTGTAGTTGTAGGTGGATATACAAACACTTTACAAAAATTATGGCCTCAGTTTCTGAATAGACTTGTTTACCATCTCAAATTTCACGACTAGAAATTGAGTTTATCATCGTATCTTATCAGGCCAAGATCTATACCATGTCACGTCAGGTTACATCACATGAGCTGAGGTAAGAAGTTCTGCCTGATCACAAGGTGCATGTCTCTGTTTTATAAACCAGTTTTCATTGCTACAAATCACTATACGTAATATGCTGTTAAGCAGCTTGAATATTTAACATCTCATGAAATATAGGAGTGTAGCATGTTTGAAAACATTTATTCATTGACGAGGAAGAGGATTGTGATTTCAAACAAAATAATCTGCAATTCTGGTGACATGCTCTTTCTTCTTTACTGTTTTCATGGTAGTGGATTGCATTGTCAGCCATACTCACGTGTTTTGATAGAGTATGTATGAGTCACTTTTCCAATCCCAATCTTATTCTATGATTCTTCCAGCACCATAATTCTTTTGTAGGGTAATGTCAATCACTTATGTTGGGCCAGAATGAAAGTCTGAAGAAATGTATAAGGATGAGGGCGTAGGACGGTGTCTCAATCTTGAGACTGAGTCACATTGCAATCATAAATCCTCATGCACTGATTCTTAGCTTTCTACACTTGTGCCATTTTGGCACTGTTTTCTCTCTTTGGACTATTTGTTTTTCTTTTCATTCTTTTGAAAATAGATTGGGGGGTATCAAGTCGAGATATTTCGAGCAAAACCTGGCGTGGAAACAAGCAGCTATCCGACCGCGCGCACCGGCAAGGAGGCTGCTCGATATTGGTGCGCGAGGACCCGTGGGGTCTGCTCAAATCCAAGCTTCCCAGAGTCCATGAGAACAAAGGGGTACAAAGCAGGACATAAGATACAGCTGTTTCAAAAAAACTGTTTTCAGAAAACACAGTTTTTCCACGTAATCTCATCTGTGCTCAGAAAACACTGTTTTCGTTCTCATCCCTCAGATCAGACTACCTCTCATCCCTCAGACTACCAAGACCACTTTTCAATTTTTGTGCACTTCTTCACTATCACTTTTATATTTATCTTTCTTACTTCCTCACAACCAATCGTCATGTCCCTCAACACCCATTCAGGGAAACTTCAAAGCAAGTAACAGAAAAGCTTTACTTGATACCCCCTATTTTTCGTTTTCAATCAAGATACAGTTACAATTAAGCAAGGCTGTCCCTGTCCTTTTTGGTAAAGATAATGGTATGAAGTTGTCCGAACAACCTGAAGCTCAGTCATTTCCATAACTCTTTGGAGAGTCGTTGGGTAATCTTTTAATTTTTATGAGAAGGAATTTCCGCACGTGTCTCTTATTTTCCATTTTCATCATTTCATATTCTATATAGAGCCCTAATTCACATTGCTAACTCATTTGTACAACCGGATATATGAACTGCACTTATATATATGTCTGAAGAGGCCTATAGCCATTCAGCTTACAAAGGCCAAAAATTGCTTAAATTCAAATCACACATCCAGCACATCAATCGTCCCTTGCCTGAAAATCAGTCACCTTTCCTCAGCACTTCACATCAACATCTTTGGTACAACTTTGAGTGATAATCAAATTTGGTCCAAAAAAGTTAATCATGCCATGGGCAAATGGAATCCAAGCAAACATTATTTGCAATGGAAAGCGTCTACCTGAGTATCGCAGCCCTAATTCAGCACCCAACACCGTCTTCTGCAAATCCATAGCAGACCAGACTTTTCAAGTGAAGTTTTCAGGAGGAATGGAACCAGGAGATTATATAGTTGACCTCTACTGTGATGGAGTCTTCATGGACGGACGTGCATACCCTGATAGCAAACAACTTCGATCAACCTTCTACGGGATCTATCTGGATGACACAAAGTTAATGCCCTTCAAGTTTTCAAATAGTGAGCTGTCAGGTCTGTCTGATTCCCCTTTTCTAAACTCTTTAGATGTAAACTGACTTTCATTTGAATTTCTTTTTGTCTCACTTCACTTGATCTATATACATATATGAGAATCTTATAGAGGAAGATGATAGTCACTCAGAGGATATTCTTGAGAATCTAGGCACTGTATCATTAGAATTCTATCACTGTAGTTTGGGCAAAGCAAAACCAGACCTACAACAGGATATTCCATCTCTTGCTTCTTTGATTAAATTTTGTGAACGGTACAAAGAAGCAATCATGCTTCCACATACCATCAGGTCAGTTAGATTGCATAATTGATTCAAAAAATTACATTTACTCTTTCAACTTTCACACGTTTCAGCACCTTTCTGACTTGAAATCTTTTCAGCCTTGATGAGTTGACTATTGCACCAAAACCGCAACCTTCCAAATCTGCCACCATTCGCCAGATGAATCCAGAGCCATTTCTACGATTTGTATGGATCTACATGTCTCGTAGTAAGCTTGAATAATAATTTCTCTTCTCTCTTTCATTTTCTCATATTTCTTGACTAGAATCTCCAAATCTGATGCTTACATCTATTTCCTTCCCTTAGAAATGTTGATTGCCGCAGATCTCCTTCCTCGGTCCGCCAGCCCACTCCCATCACTCTTTAAAGACAGAGACTATCAGATCATCACTGAACATTCACATGATACCACTGAACAGGAAATTGAGCCTTCAGACAAGCCAAAGACAAGCGGTAGCAAACCGGTGGTGATCAATCTGTGTGAAGACCACCAAACCACTGTGTTTTTTTCTAGTGTTGAGGAACCAATTCTTATTGAAGACAATCATGATGAGCAAGCCATTGAATAAGTAGTAGTTTACCACGGCAACTAGTTTTATACATATCATAATGATCATTTCATTTCCAATTACAACATCACAAGTAACATACATATAGATTATGGTTGATGAATTGTGTTTGCATGGTGGATGTGTACTCTTGTTGTTTATTTTTTTGATCTTTCTTCTGATGTGAGGCTAATTGGTTCTTCCAATCATTCTATGGAACATTGAGATTATGTCTATATCAGTGCGTTTACCCTTATGTTTTGGGTGATTTTCTTGATTTCTTTTTGGCCTTGAATGTTATGATATCAAGCTAGTCTTGAGCTCCAATTTTCTCCTTCATCATGTAGAACCTGGAAATTTGTCATTCAGCTGTTTTTGTGTGACTTTGATTTCTCTGATTATTTTCTTTTTTGATCCTGGATAGAAATCATATGTTATGAAAGTTTTCCCTAGTACTACATGATCACTATCAATCCCCGCATATTATTGATAAGGTGTCAAACTCCTTCCACCCTTTATTTTTGGACGCCACTATTTAGCGCCCTCGGAACTGTATCCGGCGCCCTATATCGGGTCGGACACCAGGCTCCAAACAATTTTGGCGCCCCATTTCGAAAAAAGGGGCACCACATTGGGGCACCCAACAAACCTCACTTCCGAATCTTTGTTCATCGTTTTGAAACTGTTGTACATACATCAATGATCAAGATGTGTTTGTTTTCGAAGCTCAAAATGACGCGCACAGACACAGACCGCTTTTAGCATGGCATAAGCATATGTTATATTAGCATAGATGTTTCTGACACTGATATCGGCATAAAAGACATCGGTCAGCCATATGAGGATGAGGCATGTATGAGGCATGTAGGGAGGGGCGCATAACAAGAGATAAAACAAGGAAAATGACAAAAACAACTGTAAAGGTAAAGCTCAAAAAACCAAAAAAAAAGGATATCGGTGGGAAAAACAACCAAGAGACTGGAGTGGAACAAACACACTGTTGTAAAGTGTACCACACAAGATACTTACTAACGACTTTGAGCCCACATATCTAACTGCAATTGGTATTTGCAAATCCAATCAGGAATGTGGGTCTCAGTGATTGTGGGTGAGAGGGTATCACCGTATATCTCCGGCAATGGCACTGCGCCCACCACTGCACCCAGGTTCGCAAAATGTTTACCATCAACAAAAGCTAAAATGATTGGATTATTTCTGTTTGGCGGTGTGCGATACGGGAAAAAGGTATAGCAGTTTGATTCAATCAGGTTGAAGAGAATCAGTGGGCATTCGTACACACTGGCAATGACGTAGCCCAAGTAAGGCATACGCATCCAGTATGCTTCACCACATTGAGCCCCCTGGGGTTTAAGTCGTTCAATAAGATCATCCACAATCTCTGTGGCGGCCGGTGCTGTACGTCGAGTCTTCACACGGCGTGATTGCATTCCGGGCGCAGTAGAGATCAGCTGTTCATGGATGTTCCGATGAGGGATCAGCTCTTCGCGCAAGTGGCGACGAACTAATATGTATGAATCCTCTTTGTGACATCGCAGCGCATTGGCTATTGCATAAAATCCACAGTTGCCAAAGGGAGGTGGATTGTAAATAGACTTGATGTGTGGAATAATTATACAAGGTAATTGTCTCAATATCCTTTGTTCGGCCGGTTTAACCAGGACACTCTTCCCTAAAGCGGCAGACATCGATTGAGATGTGTTAACGTTGACTGAAGTGACTGAAGTGTCGACCAAGGTGCTGATGGTCGGGGAAGTCTTCTTTGGAGACTCGTGATTAATGATAGTGTCAGACAGTGGAAAAACTACAACACCATATTCCCGGCTGATTTCCAAGGTCTCCTTCACTTGAGGGTCCGTACGTTCCAAGTTCATATCCTCAGCAATTAAACACGTAGCAAGTTCAGGAATCAGGACTTTTCGAATAAATGATTCCGGAGTCAGAGGTGCGGCTTTGCGAAAGTCAAGGTGATGTGGCAAATTTGGATCATTGATGAAGATAGCCTCCAGGGTTCTTACAAACACTTGATAACCTTGATATCCATAACTGATGGGACCAAGCAAATAGATCAGATACCAAGAAAACACTCAAGGGTGGGGTGGAGTACTCACTATCCTGGTTGCTCCACCTCAAATGTTCCTAGATCGGTCACGCTGTCCATACGCTTCCCTTTATGTTTCTTAGAGTAATCGAAATAAACTGATGGTTCCGTTTTGCTAATGATATTGCTCAATATCTGAGTATGCTGCTTGATACGGCTATGTAGCAGTTGATTAATAAGTGTTAGATGTCAAGTGGTTGTAAAATCGCGAGTGTACTTGCTTCTGCAAACCATCAAAATCTATAACCGTAGGCCAGCCTTTGCTGACGCCAAGTGGAATAGTCTTACATTCGGCTCGATGTAATTGACAATACTCAGCCGTTTGAGTCCACTGTTCAAAATAGTCCACACAACGTGAGCAGAAGCGGACATTTCAAAAGGTCAAACGCAAAAACACTGACCGACAAAGGGTTTCCTTTGACCACTCTAGGGATAGCCAAGAGCAGAGCTTTCAGGCTAATAAGCTTTTTCGAAGGGAAAGCGGGAAGGGGATCGTCACAGAATTCGCATAGATCTTCCCCCTCTTGATCTTCTGATTCTTCACCCTCTTCTGAGTCTTGTGAAACGCCAGAATCAAATTCACAAAGATCATAAGATTCAGGTGAGGCAGGGTCTACAACGTCCTCTATAGGCTTATCTTCAATCATGTCATAAAAATCGTCAAGTAATTCTTCTTCTTCGGTCAATACCATTTTCAATGTACGTTTGGGAATTGCACTTCGTTTGGAATTCGATGGTGTTCCAGATGACCTGGAAGGCGCAGAAGTCTGACTGGCGCGAAGCGGACAGGTGGTAATGTTGTGACCGGGTTTCAAACACAGGCTGCACTTGCTGACACGAGGCCGTTTCGAGGCCTCAGCGAGTTCCATGTCCGATTTCCATCTTGTATCAGGAGAAGCGGCCCGTTTAATTTTGCCATTGATAGCTCGAGGACGGCCTTTATTGTCCCTTTTGACTTCGGCGTCCAGAATGGGTACAAGAGAGAAAAGTCCAGTTTCGAGGAGTCCGATTTCGGTAAAAATCTTACGAAGTGTATGTTCAGGTAACTGAAGTAAGTTATCAAACTTGATTCTTGCCGCTTCAATTAGCCCTTCGTGTGTATGCGGCGCAAGTTCCATCTCGAGTTTCCACTGCATGTGGATTGAGTCAGTTGGTAGATAGTCCACGTTATCTCGCGCTGCAGCGAGCTCATGTGCACATGGGAGACCCCAAGCACCTCTAAACGTGTGAGTGCATGGTTTGTTGAGCGCGTCGGGCAATAAATCGTACTGTAATTTCATTTTTTTGAGGGCGAAGTGTGAGACCACGCCGTTTAACTCTTTGAAGAAAGCAGGAAGGCCTTGGAGTGTCTTTGTCTTCTCGATGCCGACCAAGACATTGATTTCGCTGGTTTGATGATCTTCAAATCGTTTGAAGGCATTGAAGCAGGTGATAAAGTCATTGTTTTGCCCGTCAAGAAATCTTTTCGCTCTAAAATGACTGCCTTCTGTACGTGAAGTTGATGAATTCCCAAAGTGAGGAGACTTGGAGGTGAATAATGTCACAAATTTATCGGTCTTATTGAGCCAAGTGCCTTCAAGGTAAGCAAAGACTTCGTGAACTTTGGCCATTTTGCTGACAGCTTCGAGATTTGTATCGTAGTTGGCTTGTGAAGTAGAGGCAATGAAAGTATTCCATAGTTTCATGAATTCGGTCCACTCCGGTTCTGAGAATTTGTTCTTGCAGTTCTTCGCCACATTGATGTTGATGTGCCAAACACAAAGGATGTGTGTTGAATCAGGGAAAACGGTAGAGATAGCATTGTAGAGGGCAGGTTCAGCATCGGTCGCAAAAGTTTCGGGTAGCTTGACGGTTGTGGTTTGATTCTCATCCTGGAAAATGATTTCTTTGAGTTGGGACAAGGCCCACTCATACTGATCCTGTTTTTCGTTTGTCAAAAAACACATAGCAACGGTAAATGATCGGTGAGTATTGGTGGTTCCAACGATGTGTAAAAGCGGCAGATTGAAACGGTTCGTCTTGTACGTGCAATCCAAACTGAGAACCGTTGGGAAACGTCGAGCCAAACGAATTCCAGAAGGACTAGCGAAGAAAAGGTTAAGCAGGGTCCCATTCAATGCAGTTAAGGTGCGGTGTGCCCATTGACTATCCACAATCAAATCAAACAATCCTTGCACCGGTGTGCGACCATTGAGCCAAGTCTCCCGCCGACGGTATCGAACATTGTTAATATCCCGTACTAAGGGCTGGGATCCTGGTTCTACATCAATGAGTGCCCTGATTACCGACGCGCGGCAGCCTGCTGAAGAAAGGTCATCAATTGTTTGTGAATTGGCGGTGTTGAATCGGCAATAAATAGACATATTGTGAGGGTTTTCGAAGGGAGCATGATTGTGAGTGAGTTTAACTGGATTCTTAGTGTCTTGCCACACAATCCAGCGGTCAAGATGAGTTCGGTAGTTGAGTGACACCTCAAAAGAACAGCCCGTCTTCTTGGAAGATGAAGACCAAATTCGAGCAACGGATTGGACTTTGTGACCCAGAGAACATCGTAGATAAAGGCGGATGGTCTGTTGGTTGAAGGTTTTATGACTTTTGATGGCGACAGCGTATCCTTGATATCGGGCGACAGCTTTAAGGTACATCAATCCGTTTTCCATCTCAATAAACTCCTTTCCAGTTCTAGGTCCTTCAAGCAAGCGAACAGGGGTGGCTCCTGATGAGGAAATGATGTGTATAGTATCAGTGTACAGATAACGGAAGGTAGCAAGGTGAATCATCTTCTACATACCAATTGGAGGCCAGTCGGCGTCTCTTTCATGGTTATCTAATGCCAACTGAATGAGGTCTAAGTTGTTCTCGTTTTCCAGTTGATTAGGTTCCAAATCTCCGGTTGATGTAGTTGGAGTCGCAGCAAAGGTGGTTGTTTCGGTAGGAGTAGCGGAAGGCTCGTCAGAATTAGGTGTATGAGGGGGAGCGGTAGTAGTATTGGTGTTGGTTTTGTGAGTCGGAGTCGCGTTATGATCCTTAATATGCTTATCACGAGTGGTATGGTGGTAAGCATATGGATCAATTGAGTACAAACATGGATTCGGTTGAGAGTACAACGGTTGCCAGGCACGATGATCGAAATGAGCAGCAGGAGAGTGGTGAGGGTGTTGGGTATGGTTCAAATCGGATTGAAAGTGATGCCCAGCATGTGCATACGCAATCATGCTGGCTGGACCTGAATCCGAATAGGATGTGGCCGGGTACGAAATGCCAGAAGATGATGGATATGAAGATGGTGGGTACGATGATGGGTAGAGAGGTGGGTACGACGGAGGTGGGTACAAGCCGGGTGGAAATAGATGTTGAGCGTGAGCGTTATGACCATGGTGATGAACGCCAGAAAGAGGGAAGGACGGAGGTGGGTGAAAAGAAGGTGGTGGATGATGACCACGAGAATATCCAGGATATTCACTGGGTGGAACATATCCGCTCGGAGGAACTGGAGCGGGGACTGGATGATCCTGATTCGATTGAATTGAGTCAGGGTTGGGGATGCGATTTACGTGTACAGTGGGATTTGATGTAGGTGGGGGAGGCCGGGGTATGTGTACCATACTGTGGAACAAGGTTCGAGGTACTTCGAGGGAGATTTGGTGAGTTGTAGCGGAGTTAATAATAGGATTTGGTAGGTAGTGGGTGTATTAGGTGATGTGAGGTTGCGGGGTTGGTTGATTGAAGTATGTTGATGTGGTTTGAAAGAGGTGGTGATCACAAGAAAAAAATGAAAAACAGGCGAGGAAAGACACTTCAAGACTTCAAGAGTGGGATGGGTCCTTATGAGTATGTGTATCAATGCTTCCATTGGAGGCATTGAACACACAGGCCGTGAAGGAATGGGGCCGGGCCGGGCGTCAAAGTGCTTTGACGCCCTGTCAAATGTTTTATTGTTCTTTGATGCCCCTTCAAGGATGGAAGGGGCATCAAATAGGTAATTTGAGGGCGCTTCTGTGAAGTTGTGCCCTCTTAGGGAGCCCTCAAGGAGCCCCTGGAGTCTGAGGGTGTGAGATATGCACTGAAAATCATCGGGTATCAACGGGCCGCGCGGGTATTTGTCAAAACCCGAGGGGCGCCGGATGTTCGCCGAGGGGGCGTTAAATAGTGGCATCCTTATTTTTAACCCAGTTCCTGTCACTACACAAAATGTCATCTTTACCGGGCGGTAAAGAAAACTACTGACATAGAAAAGTCCTGAGGCAACAGGAAGAGAGCTAAAAATCTGAAAAAATATGCACCTTGTTCCTAAACGTTGGGGCGTCATGACGAGTATTTTTTTGTATTTTACACACATATATTGGTTAATGTACTAACAATAAAGGCTGAGAATCATCAAAAACCCACCTGTAACAATACCTGAAATTTGGCCCTTGACTTTGAAGATAGGATTTTGGAATCTTCAAACATCAATAACTTTTGCAGTTCTGAATCAAATCACTTGATTCAAAGTGCATTAAAAAGGTGAGCCTTTCCTCTACATTTTTCATTGAGACATCACATCTGTAGCTGGTCTAAAAAAGATCCTACAGAGCTATTCATGCAGAACTGTTTGAACATATGTAGAGTGTTTAAATGACTAGATAGCACCTTACTAACATTATGAAGTGTGAAGAAGAATAGTTCAGCTTTTGAATGAACCAAAAATCGAGTTATTTGGAGCAGAATTGCAAAAGTTATTGGAGTTTTTAGACCACAAAATATTGTCTTCATACTCATGACCCATATTTCAGGTATTGTTACATGTGAGTTTTTGATGATTTTCAGTGTTTATCGTTAGTACATAAACCAATATCTGTGTGTAAAATACAAAAAAATACTCATCATGACGCCCCAACATCTAGGAACAAGGTATATATTTTTTCAGATTTTTAGCTCTCTTCCTGTTGCCTCAGGACTTTTCTATGTCAGTAGTTTTCTTTACCGCCCGGTAAAGATTACATTTGGTGTAGTGTGTAGAACCTATTCCGAAGCAGAAGAAGAAGCACAGCCTTTGATAGTACTGTTATTTGAAGGGAATGTACTTACTCTGATCAGTGAATAGTTGAGGATTGGTTGATGAAGATGACGTTGATGATCGATGACTTTCTTCTCAATTCTCGATCCAATTGATTTACTCATCTCACTATTCCAATTCAACTACAGCATAACACATTTTGGTAAAGAGCTATCTATCTAGTGTCATGCAGCTTTGACCTTTTATCAAACTTTAAAACTTTGACATCACCTTTATCAAGATTCCAACCGATAATCCACAATCGATACTCGCTCGCTTCATATTCACTCACTCTCCATCTTTTACAATCTCATCTTCATCATGTCCAATGCAAAAGTGTCAGTGAATCTCTCTTTCAATTTCATCATAACACGCTTGACTGACACTCACTTGATTATCTTCTTCCAGCTTGATCCGTCCACCTCCTCATAAGAACTTTGTTCAAGGCTATCCTTCGATTCCAGCTGATCCTAATCACGATCGTCCAGCTCCTCATCTAGCCGGCACTGTAGAGGTTCGGCCTGGCTCTAAAGGCATTTACGCTGCCTATCTTCACATCGAATTACAAAAAATCGAATCTATTCCTTCTCCCAAAGGTCTCATCGTCAATACCAATCATGGTATCTCCCGTCATACCGATACAATCAACTCTAAGCCGGTTGTCCTCTGGAGCTCGCCTAACACGGCCCGAATCCAAGACGAACCTGCTCCCAAATCCAAGCATAAGAAAGCCGCAGCTTCAACTTCTAGCGAGTCTCCTCATTCTAGATCGTCTAGTGCGCCATTCAAAGACTCATCAAATCTGGACTTGAGCAAATCTATCCCCGAATCCAAATCTGGCGCGTCCCAGACTTCAAACGCGTCTGCGGCAGGTGTTTTAGCATGGGCACCATTGGCCTCGGGTGATTTTGAGTTCAAAATCGATTTGCCTCAAGATCTTCCGCCCTCTCTCATCCTGGATTCAAAAGTCAGAACTGGAATCAGTTATGTATTGCAAGCCACTCTCTGTGCTCGTCCTCGTCATCCATCAGGCAGTGCTACTTCTTGGTTCAGACGAAACAGTTCACCATTGCTGGTTACCGCTTCTGCTGTTGTCGATATAGTTCGTCATGATCTACATTCCTCTTGGCCGATCTATCAGCCTATACCTCCTGAGCTTCGTACCGTTGAAGACCGTGGTCTAACAATGGAAGTCACGCGTCGGACCATAGCTCTTGGTCCGGGGGATGATATCACTGCTCATATTAAGCTAGAAAGCCAGTCTGTTCATCCTATCAAGGTCAACCGGTTCGAAATTAATCTCAGCGAAGTAACTTGTTACTTTCATCCCGGAAAGTCTCCTAAACCAACAAAAACCAAATCCATTCCCGATGATGAATCCAACAGCACTGTGAAAAACAACTCTCCACCAAAGAAAGAAACGGCAAGTAGCCCAAAGAAATCGGACATTCCCGACAGAAAAATCAGTACGGTAGTTGATGTTCATGCAAGAGTTCAACAAACTTTGCTTCACAAGAACTGCCTAGCATTCGACGTGCGAGGTATCCTCCCAGATACACACTCCAGAGTTACTGTTAACACTGCCCAATATCTTTCGATTCATTATCTTATGCATGTCAGAGCTGTGTTGGAACCCACTGGCAAATACTCTGATAAGAAGAAGATGCCCCTCGAGCTGATCATCGCTGAGCTGTGAGTAATTATCATTGATTGATTTGCACGTTTTCTCTTTTGATCATCTGCAATAGCTCCTCAAGCTGAAGATGTTTTGAAGGCCTATCATCATTGGTGATCGAGGTCGAGCTCTTTCAAAGACCACGATTCAGCAAATAGGAGTGGTACCAACACTCTGCCTACCTGTCACTACCTCCAGGCCAGATATCCTTCGATCTCAGACCAGCGCTCCTCATGAGACTCATCGAAACAATCATTTGGGTCAACACCCATCTTTCCGACATCCTCAGGCCTTGAGTCCTCAATCGATCACTTCTTTCACGGGCGTGGGCGCTGGCGTAGGTGTTCCATTCCAATATCCTCCCCTTCATGGAAACGGCCCGAGACCATTTCCTTCTGCCATCACCCCACATCATTCCGCCCATCATCCCGCCATTTTTTTCGAACCCCACGGTGTCCCAAGGCCTGGACCTTCAGACTCTCGGCAGTCTGGTCATTATCCTTCACATTCACATCAAACTCAAACCACCTCTGAGTCCTCTCGCAAGACTACATTTGACCCCCGGGTATCCTATCATCAACCCATCTTGAATGATGACCCTACTCGAGCGCGAGCTCCGAAAGGTTCTTTTCGTACCACTCGCAGTTCTAGTCAACCTAACCTGGAAAGCACACCGGAGGCTCCTGAAGGCGATCCTTACAGTCGAGCCAGATCGGCTACCCCATCTCGCGCCTCAGAAGTCGAATGGCCTATCACGTCTATCAACTCTATGCCAAATCATCCAGAGGCTTTAAGACCTGCACCTCCACCCCCACTAGGTGCTTACCAACGCGTCATCAGTGGATCAGTAGACGAAAAACAACAACTGTTTTTAAAAGCCAAAGCTGAAGCTGAGCATACCCAGAGCTTATTTCACAGGACTACACCCGATACTTTGAGCCGTAGCGTCACATTATATTCACAGAGTTCGTATGTACCATCACGAAACTCGAGGATGGTATCTTTGACATCCACCAACCCATTGGACTCTCCCACATTCGGGAATCTCGATAATGCGGTTCCCGAACAGCAGAACTCAGGTTATGCGACGGCTGAAGATGATAAAAGGGCACTAGGCGCATCTTATCGGAACCGTCGAGTTGATTCGATAGGGGCAGGATCGATGTTGACAACGACCACCTTACCTACATATGGAGCTCACGTCGATCAAACAGCAGATGACAATGGAACAGGACCAGATATAAGTCTACATCTGACCAACCAAAGTGAGCTTTCCTTGTCCATGCGATGTATCATAATATCATGTTAACTTCACTTTCACTTCAGGTTCACATGAATCAAACTCATATCAGGCTGAAACCAGTATGGTGGATCATGGCTCTTCATCACTTTACTCTGATCGAGCTTCTACTCCCACGTCACTACCACATCATTCGCTCCCAATGTCAACTCATCATACTCCATCTCCATCACATCGGCAGGCACCTTCGTCTTCACCTCATTATACAATTTCACCGCCTACTCATCATACACTCTCGCCATCCCACCGCCATACACTTTCACCGTCGCCTCATCATACAGTTTCCTCATTACCCCTCTCAACCCTCTCACTATCACAACGTCATACATTCTCATTGTCTCCATCACCCCAGCGTGATCACTCACCCCCACCACCCCCAGTGAATCTAAAGACACGTCCATCTTTCAAGGTGGGTGAGGTAACATCCACTGAGACCACCCCAAACCATAATGTTACTCCTATTCAACCTATCCCACAACCACCACCTACACTAATTGATCCACAGAGAGAAGCATATCTTAAAGCAGTAGCCCAAAGAGAAGCCTATCTTTCAGGACAAGTCGGCATGATCTATGAAGCACTCCAAAATGATCGAGATGTGGTAGTCAGTGCATTAGAAGAGAAGGCTAGGTTAAGATTAGCATGGGAAACAGAACAAAGAAGAGAAGTGATGGAAAATGGAAATGGGAATGGGAGTAGTAGTCTTGTAGGAGGTGGAGGTGGTGGAAATGAACCTTTTCTTTCTCCTTCTGGATCTTCTGTTGCTTCTAGTGTGGTTGTTTCACCTGTGATTAATCCACCTACGATCAATGAAGAAGAAGAGATTGGAAAAGTCGTAGAAGAAGTTAGATCAAAAGAGTCTAATGGAAATGGTAAGGGGATTGGTTTTTGGGTTTGAAGATTTGAATTGATTTGATTGAAAAGAGAAAATTGATGACGTTTTGAATTGGGTTATTGAATTTTTTTTTAGTTGGATTGATTAGAATGCCTACTGCTAATAGAAAATTAGTGACACATGGGAATTGGTTTGATTAAAAAAAACGATATATATATATATAATCTTTTATTTATTGATTTAATTCTTTATTTATGTAGAGAAATATATGAATCTTGAAAGCTCTTTTAGAATTTTTTTTTCTTTCTTTCTTTTCTTTGTTCAGTATTATTAATTGTAAACAAAATTGTAAACAAAAGAAATGTAGGTTTGTTTAGCAAAGTTTAGTTTAGTTCAGTATCATTTAGTTTTTTCTTTTGTTTAGCAAGTAATTCATAGTTAGTATTATTTAACAAAGAAAGAAAAAAAAAGCAATAGTTGGGTTTTTTCATTAGATTGTGAAAAACGTTTTGAATGTTGAATGAAACTCATAAGTATTTTCTTGTTCTATTTTTTCTTGGTTCAGTTTTTTACTATCTTGGTTTTAGGTTATTCATTTTTTTTGTTTTTTCTTTGTTTTGAATCAATATGATCTGAAAACAAGAAAAGAAATGTAATTATCATGTATCATGCGTAAATAGTAGGAAGATCAATGTGATTGACAGAAATGAGTTTGATTTCTTAAGAAATTGATTGATTGATATTGGTTTTGAGTATTGTTTTTAAAGCTGGTTTGATCTCTTTATTTTTCTATTCGAAAGCTTTTTAATCAAGTTAATATCTAATTTACATAATATCTTTTGAATTGTTCTTGATCAAGAATTGTCTTTTGTTGAATTGATTCCTTTTGAGTCAGTTAGATTATTTGGACTTGAGGTTTGATAACCTATGAGAAGAGTTTTACATGGATACAATTTGTGAAGGTAATTTTTTGTAAAAAAATCTAGGTTTACTCACGGCTCAGGAATACTTGAACAAGGAGATTTTCTAAAAAAACAGTTTCTTCTTCTTGAATAAACAACACCTTCAGAGCAAAAGAATTGATGTGGGTGTCTTCTGCACCACATAAGTCAAAAAATAAAATCTTGCACAACACTCAAACCAAAGTATGGAGTGGGACTACTACAACAAAGAAAGGTCAACTATACTGTCCTTAACGATAGTGTCCAATTGCTACTTCTCTAGGATGAATAGCAAGAGAGACAATGTCAATTAATAAACATTGTCACTTTTGTAAGAACTAGAGACTATGCGGGCATGCCCGCACCAGTTCAATTGTCAAACTGACCATTCAATACATACTTCTGTGGTTTTCAAAGTCACCTACTAACACGGCACAGCTTATGGTTCTTTTACAGACACACAGAAATCAAATCAAAAAAAATCAAGAAAGCAACAGAGAAGTTGCAAAAAATACACACCAGCATCTCTTAAACTTGATTGATGATGATGAGTTGGTATTTATACAGTTGATTTTAGGAACATCCATGATATGATTGGAAGGAGATATATCTCTCAATTTCTTGTTAGTGAACTGACAGTATTCACTGCAACCAATTTAACCTTGGCGTTACTGTGCTTTTCAGTCTTGGTGGTAGACATATTGGTCATCTGAAATGCAGTAAGTGTTCTGTTACAGTCAATGCAGACTGCAATTTTGGGCCAAATAGTTTGTTGCACTCAATACGCATAAATGAATTTGAAGTTATTGAGAACATCAGGTAAGTAGGGCTTTTGCTTGAAAGTTCAAGAGAGGCAGAATCAGATGCTGTTCAAAATTTAACAGTGATCTTTTGGATTAACAGTAGCATAGATATGCAAGGCTATAATTAGATGGTAGTTGTTGTTGGTTGGGATGTGATTTATTTCAGAAAAGGATTAGGAACCTCCCTCTTATAAGGCTGAGTGAGTGAGGCGCGAATGCACCAAAGGATTGAGTGTAATAGCAAAGTCCACCATGAAAAAGAGCAACAACAGAAATAAATATCACAATGCAAAACTATAAACGTAAGGAAAAGTGGAATACACAGGAAATAAGAAGAAAAGGCATTAACAACACACATCACAGGAAGGTTTCCTGCGCGTGGTC